AGTTATAGGAGTTTGTTTTAAGTCAATAATTCTTGAATATCAATAAAAAAAGTTCTAGTTCCATTGGCAGATTATTTCAAGACATTTTCACCATGTTATTAGTGAAATAGTCTACCAGAGGACCGAGCACTTTCTCAACAATATTAAGGAACAATTGCCTTGCAATAGGCTGATATCTGGCTGAAAAGTTTCTTGTATTTTATTTCAATATTGCACTAGAAACTAGTGTGTACAAATACTTTTTGTGTTTTTGCAGTGCAGTGTTAGCTTTGTAGCTTGGGTGAAATTACATATATGTCGTTTCACTTACAACAATACATTTTTCCCATGTTTTAGTGAAATAATCCGCCACCAAAACGAGAACTAGAACTAGCATATGAACTTAAAACAAGCTCATATGCTGCTGAAGAGTTACTTGTGAGCTAGTTCTGTCTTATTTCAAGCACACTAAGATATTTATTAGAAATTGTACCAAAACTATCCTTTTAGGTCTTGCGTTTTTGCAGGGTGGATGCTACCCACGTCCATTTCTTTCCGTGATTCGGTGCATGTTCGTAGACGTGACACACTTTAACACCGAGTGATGGAGTTTGGGGCTCTGATGGAAGAGGTCAGTCAGTCACAGAGCAGATAAGCAACACCTCATTAGTCCCGTTGAAGGGAGTTCTAGAGGCATCGTTGTGCGATAGCATGCCAACGCGGCCCTGGGCTAAGCTGTGGACATGGAGACAATCCTGATCGGACTGGAAGGTAATGATCACGTGTTGTCCACTAGAAAGGACATAAATAATAGAGCATAGTGGTTAGGGGGGATAATGTGTCCCCGTGTGGCCCCTATAGCCTAATGAATGCAGACATGTACACTGCGACAACATGCATGTAACGGGCATTCTTAGAATAACGCAGATGAATCACTGCCCAGGGCTGTTTTTATCTTCTGCACGCAAACGTTGAGAGTCCAGCCCATTCTTAAAATTATAGAGTAGTCTTCTGGGTCGCTTACATTGTAAAAATGTCCATACTACTTGGACCAAAAGTGAAAGAAACATAATGGAAGTGTTAAAATTAAAGAAAAAACCAACTCCATTTATTCTGATAACCCACGTTCGCCTTTGGAAGTCGTTGTTTCATTTATTCCAAGAGCAAATGTTCAGTCATACAGCTGTTATGTGAAAAGTTGACAGATTAATAAGAAAAAACAGAAACTAGCAGTGTGCTGGCAAACTGGCATCATTCTGAGATATCTCACTGTGAAACATGGTGGTGGCGGCATCATGCTATGGGAGGATGTTTTTCATGCAATCACAACAGTTGATCATGTTCAGCGGGAAGGAGGATAGAGATCAATACATGGCGATTCTGGAAGGTCAACTCTTGGAGGAGAGTCAACGTCCAGGATATTCCTGTGATGAATTGGTAAACTGTCACCATGTCGTGACAGTTTGTCATGAGACAAGATAATCTGTGAAAAGATCCATCTCCTCCACCTCCTCCCTGAGCTACAGATGCCGTCTGAAAAACATGCACCGCTCCTGGTAAAAAACAACCAATCAGAGCAAGGGGGAGGGCCTTAGCGCTATCAATTGACTTTGTGTACGTGTACGAAGGTGGAAAAACAACTCACCATTCCAGGAATATTGTTAATCTGATGTCATCGGTGGCCATGCTAACTAGTCTTAGCATTCATGGCAGACTCCATGGTGGTGGACAAGCAAAGGAGAGCGTGGTAGCAGCTTGTATATGTGCATGAGTGACAGTCCTAAGACCCTCCTCATATCTCTGATTGGTTGTTTCTGACTAAGTGGAGTATTTGTGCAGTAGGAACACGGGGAGAAGGCAGAGGTGCTTGACTTTCTCCAGTGTCTCACAATGTACTTTCACAACATCGTACATAAAAAGACAAATATGTCTTTTTTTTTTTTTTTTGTAAGTAAAAGTTGCATAACGCAGCTTTAAAGTCCAGACATGAACTTTAAATTAGAAAGTGGATGTTCACACTGACTGAACTTGATTAATAACTATGTTCTGCACACCTCGGTCTGGTTTCAGATTATAAACTCTGAGGAGTTTAAATGTGACAAAAGAGAGAAAGTACAACATCTCACTCTGTGTTTAGTAAAACACTACCGCGTACATGTTTCACTTTTTGACTACCTGTAATGTAAACTATTGAGAAGAGAAGAAAGGACTCCAGTAAGGCCCAGCATGTCTTTCAGCTCTCTTTTTGTACAACACAACTTTATACATTCTTGCACTCAACTCTTTCTTTTTTTTAAATTTGCATTCCTCCTCTCCTACCCCTGAACTTAGGCGGCCCTCCATTTCTCCTGGCACTGACGTTAATGCACTCCCAATCAGGCTGTCTATTAGGCGGACATGGACAACACGTTCATCAGGCCATCCAAGGAGGCCTGCATGCAAATGAGCTCAAACTGCAGCGTGCTGCAAAACTCCTTGAAAATCCTGAGAGGCAGAACGTGTGGAAGACACGCATCTGGGAGACGCGGCGGGCTGTCCGATTCATGCTGATGAAAACCGCGGAGACGAGCAGCACAAAGGATTAACCTAATCAGGATGTCTTTTTGATGTTTTGATGCAACGCTGAGACACCCGAATGTGAAAATCACCGCTATGAATTCCGTCCGCGAAGCGCGAGCCTTCAAGGAGCGTTTTCCTCCCCCTGTCAGTCGGAGCCTTTGTCATGAGCACCGCAACTTTCTCCTCCACGAAAAGAAACAAAACTTTCGCCGGAATTGCTAAAAGCAAGACACACAACAGACAGTTATGACACTTTGATTCTCTATCCTCCCTCCTGACCGCCAGGCATTTCACAGCACTTAGTGTTTTGTTGTTGCACCCGGCGAGACGCGTTTATTTTCACCTCAGTTCTTTGCCGTTAAGATTTTTTAAAAACTGTCAGGTGGAATGGGAGAAAAACGAAGAGAAGATATTAAGACGGCATGAGGAGTTTTATAGGATTTAAGCTGAAAAGTGACATGAAGAAGAAGCTGTAGAGACGACGCCAAAACTCTGAGGCTAAGTCAGGCTGGTTTGCTATGAGGGTCATCGGAGATAGGACAAAACACAATAGTCAAAATAACTCAAATTTTGGGAATTGATCTTAGAATTTTTTTTTTAAAACTAAAGGTTTTAGATTGAGCTCAGAAATTTTCCAGAAAAAGGAAAAATACTCAGACTCAAAGCATGATAATTGCAAGCAAAAATGTCGAGGAAAGTTTTTTGAACAAACTTGAAACGGAAGTAAAAATGTTCAAGTACTGACATTTAGAAAATTTCCAAAAGTCAAAAATGTTCAAACTCAGAAATTTCCAATTTTTTTCTGTAATTTTTAACTTTTTTTTTGGAGAAAATTTCTAATTGATCTCCAAATCTCTGATTTCTTCCAAGCAAATTTGCAACTTTCAAGTGAAAAATACTTTTTTTTTAAAAATTTGAGACAATTTCTGCTTTTTTTCCGAGTTTTCAAACTCAGAAATTTCTAAGATTTGCTTTGAAAATCTAGGAAATTTGGAGATCAAAGCAAATTTGTAACTTTTCACACCCAGAAATTTCCACATTTTATACACAGTGGCCTTGACACGCTGTCGTCGGTTCTCAGGTCTGCGTCTTTGTATTCAGGAGGCACGGGGCCTGCCGTTAAACCCGCAGAGCACTGGGAGTGTCAGAGTGGCCCGCAGCATGCCAACTCTTAAGTGACTGTGGCACTCAAAGATAATGAAGAATGATGATGAGGCCAAGGAGGGCATGTACTGGGCCCACATGCACAGGGGAAAATCACCAGCAGCACAAAGCTACTCAGACAGATTTAAGCTTTGCCCACAGCACTGATTGCATGTCAGAGTGTCAGACCTCTGGCTCAAATTGCTGCCTCTATTCAAATGTTCTGCAGTTCCTAAAAAAAAAAAAGCATCTCTGCATGTTTGTGCTTTTGCCTGGTGTGTGACTTGTATATTGTTGCCAAACCTTGAAATGACATCTGAGCAACGATGAAAAATAAAAAGAAACATGAAATGTGCTGAACTGAAATCATTCAAAACAAACAAGCTCCCACCCCCGCGCCTTCATCAGTTGTGACCTGGAAACACGCTTGTCGTCTTTTGTTCAGAGTTCTGTGCCTTTCCCAGTGATATGCTAACTAATCCTATTAAGGTAATCCACATGAAAACAACTTACGGCATGATAGCGGTGGGGAGCGCCTTCGCCATTAATTTATGCCCTATTAAAATGTGCAGAAAACGAAATAATTAATGGAACTCCGCTGGAAGTTTTTCATGCGACGGGAATGCTGAATTGATACCTGCAGGATGTGAGTTTTATTCGAGTGCAAGTCTGGGAATGCGTCTGCGTCGATAGTCGGTCTATGATCGAAAGCAAATGTTTTTAATGTGCATAATTTATATAAAGCATCCTGTGTGGTTGGATAATAGTAGCGAAAAGATTCAGAGAGAAGAAGTAAAATATATGCTTTTGCTGGAATCCTGCAGTTGAAACAGAAGCTGTTCCAGTCAGGAAGAGGCAACAGAGCTAAGTGATTCAAAGTCGATTTTACCATCTCCAAAGGTCTTTAATTCCCCAAGCGACGTTCGGGCCCCTCCCCATGAGCGCTCGCACCGGCTCTGAACAATGTCTGCTGGTTAACCAATGCTGAGCGATGTGCAAAGAAGGCCCGCGCACATGGGATTATGAATAAAACATGTTGCCCTTATTAAAAATAATCTGGCTCTAAAGTGCCAAAGGCCCTTGAGGTCGATAACCACTTCCCCTCCCCTCGCTTCATAACTCTCACAGGGTTCAAGGAAAAGGGTCCCTGATTAGCGCTGACGACATCCAGAGAATGTATTCAGTCTGTATCATCCGCTGCCGAACGTGTTGTGTGGAATTAAACAAAACAGCGATTGGCGCTCAGGGCAACGCAAACGGAGAGTGACAGGGTGTCGGTGTTGCGTGGGAGCACAGCTTCGGCCCTCTGGTGTCCCTACCTGAACATCTCACCCAGGCCCTTCAGCACACCCTTCTTTGGTTTGTTCTTGACCTTGTCTTTCTCCTTGTCCACGCTCTTGGTTTCCTTCAGCCCGCCCAGCGCACCGTCTTTCTGTTTGTCATCAACCAGCCCGCCGCCGAGGCTGAGGTCATCGCTCGTGGACATCGACTCGAGGCCTGACCGGTAGCTCCCCTCTGTGTCTTCATCCACTGGAAGCACAGAAAAAGTCAGATGGAGTGTTAAATATACAGCAGCGGTACAGACTTGCTGTGCAGTCGCAATGCAATGGGTGAGGATCATCAAAAAAAAGTAACAGTCCTCCTTTGATTCAAGTCTAGTAAAGTATATTTCTGGAAACTTGATTTCAATTTCACCAGCCACAACAAGTCCTAGTTAATGCCAGAATGAAGATATTGCTTAAAGAGAACCTGTCTGACAACATGAAGCATGATATGGAACATTCTTAAACCCTGTAATTAAAACAATTTTCCAGAAAAAAATGCCAAACTTTCTCCACTCATTGTTATTGCAGACATTGTGGTCAATTGGAGTGACCGAGCCATTAGAGGATTTCTTTTTCACATAGAGCTTAGCTGATTTGGATGGATTTTCTCTTTACACACTAATTTTAAAAAGCAGTTCATACAAACTCCTGTTTTTTGTCTCACGACGTTTGTTGATCTGTAACATTTAAGGCACAAAGAGCAAAAGAAGAACCTTAAGAAGGACACATTTAATCACAGCACTTCCACATTGTGAGGAACTTTTACGCAAGCCAAGGCAGCTGAAGAAAATGAAGTGCAACTAAATGAACTTTAACTTTCAGCCGACTCCCTGCAGATCAATGAAGCTGTATTTGAAATCAGCAGACAGCGCCAGTTTTCTTTTATCAGTTGCAGTGCATAACGTCTTTCTTTTAGCAACATCAGAGGAGCCATGGAAAAAAAAGAAAAAAAAAGAAACTGTGTCCCAAAAGGTATAGCAGCTCTGAACAAAACACACTGAATTCATTCGCCTCATTAGAGCAGAATATATTTACATTGTACACCCACTGAGAGTGGAACAGATTTTCACTTAGCTAAGGCGCTCAAGTTATTTCAGTTGTGTGTATTTCACATGGATTACAGAAAGAAAGATAAAAAAAAAAACTCTTCTGCTGTATTTTACGCATTAAAAAAAAGAAAAGAAAAAAAACGCCTTCACGCAAGCGTAAGCAGTAATGATAGTCATGCGAATCTGATTTTTAATTATGTCTGAAGTAATTTTAAACCCGACATCAAACTCAAACCAAACTCCTTAGGTGCTGCAAGGTTGATTAAACCCAAAGTTTTCATCACATCTAATCAGAATCAATGTAGAAAATGTAATTAATCCGTCACTAATTATGCATTTAAATAATCTTGAAGAAGGCTTCTGGGGATCATAATTGCAAATACGACGTGCGCCGAGTTTGGCACGGCTCCCGTCTGCGCTCTGAGGTATGAAGTAGATGTCCCTTAGATTACAATGTATTACACCCATGCATGTCATTGTTCAACTTCTGCTTCTGATATATATATATATATATATATAGAGAGCGCGAGAAAGAAAGAGCGAGAAAAAAGTGCTTATCATGTGGAAAGAAGAGGGAGGCGAGACAAAGATATTTGGCAGCCTACGGAAGGAGAGAGTATGCTGGAATCAGATTTGAAGGATGATCGGGTTTGGCTTTCTTCTTCTTGTGATCTGTGCAGCTATCAGCCTTTTGTTTCAGCTGCCACCTCAAAGGAAACCACCGAAACGGAATGTGAACACAGAGCCCCGAACGGCGAGAACACAAAGGAGATTAGTGTCTTAAATCTGCTGGATTATGCAGCTGGTCTCTGCACACGGCCTCTCGCCTTTGCTTGCACAGGTGCCTATGCACCACATTAGAATGTCTCGGAAAACTCAGTTCGTTTCAACAATTCGATTCAAAAAGTGATTATGTAGTTTTAATAGAAACTTCATGTGTGTGTTTTTTTCCCCCAACTGTTATTGACAGTTTCAATAACAATTGCCTGCTACAATAATAACAAAATGTTTTGTAATATAGAACCGCAGTGCTTGGATCAAGTCATGGCCCACTTAATTGTGAGAAAGAGTGTTGATCTAAGGTTGGTTGAGCTTGTGGTGTCCAAGTATATTAATCAGGGTTTCACCAACTTAAATGTAAGACTTTTAAACATATTTGACATAGTGGCAGTGCGCAGCCGTTTTGCCCAGAATGCATTTAGCATTGTGTGAGTTAGCAAAAGAAGTGAGCGATTGGCAAAGACAAGTCAGCCAGCAAACTGCTGATACATTTCCACCTACCCACACACAAAAAAACTACCTACCTGGCTAACTAGCTGCAAGCTACCGCTTGCTAGCAGTAGGCTTATAGGGTACCTTGTAAAGGCCATGAGTCATTTCTCATACTCGCACTGGATATGGCGGTCTGTTTCGGTTGTGTTTACTGTTGGAGACGGTTCTTCCTCCAGCTGGGTTTGTGATGTCACTGGTTCTAGAAGAGCCAGTGACTTGGATTCATGAATTCCATTTATGAAGACTAAAATGCAACGCTGATCCACTGCCATGGTTTTCTTATGGGAAAGCACAGCAAAAATGACACCTAACAGTTTCTGACTCCTTTAGTAGGCCTCTATGCAAATCAGGTCCAAAAGAGGGTGTTCCCTAGAGTGTGTGCATGTGTCGCATGCAAGTAGCTAAAACAGATAGAGGAACACACAGAATTCTTTATTCCCAACATTACCCAGAATGCCTTGCGCTGTAGTTCATTTTGCTTTTTTGATCCATGCCAGAGTTCAATAGCGCATTCACACCTCCCCGAACCAACCGGACTTTCTTCGCAAATGAACTGGGAGTTGGGTCTGAGCAGAGTAAACAGGGCTGGTGTGATTACCTGAGATGATCCTGGGCACCTGCACACATTCGTATGCGGTTTCCGGATAGGGATCTGCTTGATCCCTCTGTCTGCCGCCTGCTTATCATCCGCTTAAGAACAATGGCGCTGAGTAGCAGCTGTGAGCTGTATCTGGCTAGTGAAATTAATGAGATTAGCAGTGGTGCTAATGTTCCTACCTCTGCTTAATGATGCTGAGCTGCAGATAACACTCTCAATATTTTAATCCAGAACTTCCCAGAGGGCAGCAGATGAACGCGTCTTTCTGCGCACACCTGCAGGTTTTTGTTCATGTTCAAGCTGATTTGAAGTCAATATATATACACATTTATACACTATTAAACATGACAATAAATGACAATATGTTTTCAAAAGCAGGAAAAAAGCCTTCGCCGTCAGTCATGGGAAAGTGAGGCCGGGTAGACTGATTTGATGGGTCTCAAAAAGAAGAAAAAGCTCGACATTTTCAACCGATAGCAGAAGCCTTGATGACAGTGTCAGGAGGCGCACAGATAATTTGCGGCAGGCGACAATCGCCTGAAACATTTTGTCACTTCTCTGAAATCAGCCATTAAACTTTTCTCCCTTGATAATCATAGAGCTTTAAGACGGCCTGTCAGCGAAGGTTGTGAAAGACAAAGAAAATTGCAAGTCATTTCTCTCCACCCATCCCCCCCCCATCACATAAAAAACTTGAGACGATTTTACTTTCTCTATCTTATTCCTTCAGAACAGAACAACACAAAAGCGGCACAAGAGGAAGTGCATTTTCTTGTTTTGTTTTTTTATTTTTGTCCAGCAGAATATCTTGTGGGGACACATTTGCTTTACGTGTTGTTGCCCCCCTCCACACCCATTCCTCCGTTCTTATTTTATGTAAATAAAAGTCTGGGAGCATGTGGAAGGCAGCGGCTTATCTGTCAACTCTGACTATTAACCTCAGTGACGAGCGCAGGCTGGCTGCTTTTATCTAAATTGAAAAACAGAGTTATTTGAATATCATGGGGAGAATGCAATATACTGCAGCAGGGGAAATCGGTTGCTTTCCCCATTTTTCTTTGCAGAGATAAGACTGTATTTAGTGGCTTGCCGACAGAGCTTATGAGAACAAAGCGTTTCAGGCAAATAATTCCTTCTTTTTCAAATGTCCCCCAGCTCTTTTAATGGAATCCTTTAATGGTGAAAGGAAATTTATATCGAGTGATTACTCTTGTGGTGTTGCAGTGTTATTACCTGTCGGAAACTGTAACACGGCTGTCTCTCTGCGTCCTGCGTGAGTGCGTGTGTGTGTGTGTTGTCAATATGCCTGACGACTACAGACACGCGCAGAAATATTTACACCCCTTGAACTTTTTAGCATTTTATCACACACGTCACGGTGTTCTAGTGGGATTTTACAAGACAGACCAACACAATGCAGAATTTTGGGGAGTTGTTGGTGTGATTTTCTGACAAAAGAACTGAAAAGTGTTGACAGACATGTTGAACTTCTTCAGTGTAACACCCCGAAATAAAGATATTTTGCAACAAACTCCCTTTAGAAGAGGCTTTTCGCTTTTTGTTGAAAAGTTACCTATAATTAGTTTTGTCTTATTTCAAGTGTGATAAGATATTTGCAGTAGAAACAGGAACAAAAATAGAATTGTTAAGCGTAAATATATAAATACTCACATGTCTCCACACTGTTTTCTTCCCTTGGTATGAGACCAGCTTTCACATATGACTTGTCGATTGCGGCCCGGAAGCTCTCGTTGCAGCCTCGGCCCCTGATGATGTGCGGATGGATCCTCTGGACGTTGAGCCCGTCGCCCGCGACGACGCCGGCGGCATCTTTCTGGAGACTCTCCATTGAGCTGGACTTTTTTAGACGCGGGGCAGAGTCGATTTGTCGCTCTTCAAAGCCTGCAAAAACGAGTGCGGAGTGTAGAAACAGTCGTGAGATTTTTGGCTTTCAGTGTCAAGCAAGCAGGATTTAGTATGTCTAAACTATGGAACTGGGTCACTTAAATAAATGCTTCATATTTTTGACAAAGACTCCACGTCATTGGAAAAAAGAAAAAGTTAAAGTGTATCAATCAAAATCAGACATAGACAACTTAAGATTGAGGGCTACGAGTGACATAATTCAATAAATCCTTGTAATAATATATTAAATCATACTCAATAAATTAGAATATGCATTCTGACGAGACTTGCTTGTTAGATTAAAAGCATCTTTAAAAATAACCTTTAATTAAACTCTTTCCAGATAATGTGATACTCTAATCTTAAGTGTCACGTCTTCATCGGCTGATTGCGAAATAAAGGCGTGAAAAGAATCGGTTTGTGTGACTGCAATCTGCGTCGCTTGAGAATTGATTCCCGAAATAAACTTTACCAATCTATTTTTTTTTTTTTGTTTGCTCTGTAAATATGTGTGAATCCAACAGAATTACAGATGAAATAAATTAATAAATAAATAAGATTTGAATTGAACTGTTCAAACAATTCCATATACTGTAATAATTTTATAAAAAAATTTAATTTTAACATCTGCAGTGATTTTTTTTTTACTTAACTTCTTAGAGATACATAATAGACTGTATGGGAATCTCACAGCTGTAACAGAGTTTTTACTTCTGCAAATGTCAGACATGGCTGTCAGCTGCAACAAACCAATGAAGAAAATAGATCCCGAGCCTCATGTTGATTAGCTTTTAGCATTGAACCACCACAAATTGTACAATTTCACAGAATACTACAATCATTTATATAAACCGTAGCAATGTCTGAGCAAGGCATTGGGGCTATTACGGCACTTTGTCACCGCGTAGTTATGTGACAACTAAAGTTTGCACGACAACGCAAATAAACAGTTAACACGAACCGTAAATTGTTAACACGATACGACAGAAAGCATTCTGCCTCTTGTACCAGCGAGTTGTGTTCCAGACAGCTGTATTTTTTATTTTTTTAAAGCAATACTTTCGAGAGGTTTGTTTAGCTTATGCAAGCAGAGCCACACTTGGGTATTGGTGTTTCATTTTGTCAGGGAGCATCCATCAGCTACCCGACTTCTCTCCTTATGCAGCGGCTGGTAAACAAGTAGATCTGTTTTCGATTTTCAGTTCCTTCTTCTCCTATTTGACTCAGGGTGCAGCAGGTTACTGTCCAAATAGCATGCGCAAGTAAAGCTTTTTTTAAAAAAACAAACTTTCAATAATAATAGTAACAGTTGTTAGACTTATTGATTCAGAGGCCATGGCATATGCTGAGAAAATGCATTCATAAAGGACGTGCGCCATTAACGTTAGATCAGATAATGAAGGTTTTTGGGTTTTCGACAGCAAATGGCACGATGTGATTTAGTTACTAACACACACATGCAAACAATTTTAGGGACCCCAAAGGAGCAGTAACATTTAAGTGATATGAACAGGATCCATGTCACGTGTAAAGCAGCCTAAATGAGGCGTGTTCGACCACTGCCGGTGATCACATGGACCTCTTGGCAAACAAAACAAACAAGCTAAATGAAAGAAAACTATTTGTTGCTCAGGAAAGCCGCCCCCTAAACATAAAAAAAAAGCAATTCCAGCTGAAAGAATTTGCGGGGTACGACTCTGGCAGGTTTGCGCATTCAAAGACTTTGGCTCATTCTTCTTCACTGAATGGTTTTAATATGACCATATGGTGTTGATGTATGCTGCTCTAAACATTGTGTTTGGCTCCTGCTTTCAGTGGCGCTTGTGGAAATTAGAGCTTAGCTGATGTGGACTGAGCAGCTTCCACAATAACTTCTTTGTTGAATTTGTAATTTTTAGAATCTGCCTTTTGCATATTTGTTAAAACTGTGTGTATGTTTGTCATGAGACAGAAAAGATTGATCTCCTTTACATTCTCCTGGACCTAGCATTGCAGTCTGAAGAAATGCACCGCTCCCAACCAAAAACAACCAATCAGAGCTGGGAGGAGGGTCTCTGCGCTGTCAATCAATCTTATGTAGTGCTGGTAAATGTGCTAGTGGGACTTACTGTTACAAGAAAACTGTTCATCTGCAGTCAGGGGTGGCCATGCTAGCTGGCCTAGCATTGAAAACATGCTATGCTAGCAGCAGCATAATGGAGAGCAAATCTTGGCAAATCCTTTCACATAAGGCAGAATCCTTCCTTGCTTTGTTAGCAACTAACACACAAGTCCTCACTGAGTACCTCACTGTCATGAATGCCAGGTATGGACTTAAGTGGCAAACAAATCAAATAGGCTCAAAGGTCAGCTGCCAGTCACAGGAGTAAACATCGTAATTCTGTACGTCATTAACACAACCTTTCTCCCTTTTTGGTCAATGCTAATTAGACCATGCAATCGATGCCAAAAGCATATAGCAGAGCACAAGGCTGTACCACTGCATAAGGAGATGTCCTACATGCACCTTCATTGACAAAATGCTCAGTAGATCAGGATTACTGCTGCTTCATCCTAAAAGTTTCTTTTTTTTTTTGGAAGCACATAGTTTTTATTTGAATGCTGTTATGGCAAATATGAATACCAACAGAGAATAAACATATTTACAGCACTAACAGAAACAAAATAAGTCTCTCTAACTCACAGACTGTGTGAAGGACAAGAGAGAAAAACTTTCTATTTAATAGAAAAAGCAAAAAAAAGCAAAACCACAACCATACAAAATGTCCCAGCTTAATGGTTCAAATACTAATTACTTTGAAATGTTAAAACCATATTTTTTTCTTTTTCTTCTTTTTAAATAAATAAATAATAAAATAATAAAGGTTGCCACTTGTGAATTCCACAGAGTTCACTCAGTGCCTGTTCAAAGAAACCCAAATGACATCTGCTGTACTTGTACAGGGAATTATCCTCCTGCTTGGTATTCTGCCCTACAATCCTACTCATCATTGTTTCTAGTCAACGCTCTGGATGACTGAGAGGAGCAAAGACCCAAAGAGAATGCGTGAGCGAAGCAAAAGGAGAGAGAGAGAAAAAAAGAGAGAAAGAGAGAGAGACAGTTTGCACACAGACCCAAATGATTCCAAGCTGCCTTTGTTTTGGGGCCCCCGGCTCTCCTGGGAGACTTTGACGGACAGCTCTCTGTATACTGGTCTATTATGTGATTCCTATCACACAACGGGAGCCCCAGTGCTCCGCTGCTCATCGCCTTCGCATTCAGAGGGAAGAAAATACAAATTCCCCCATTTGCATACAGACACGGGTTTGCCACTCCCAACACGTCTGGGGGAGAAATTAAAATGATCAGAATAAGAAAAGAAGACAATCAAATTAAACTGAGAGGAAGTACACCTTGAAACTCATCACGGCTGCAAACAAAACTGGCCAACGTGGTGAGTTATAAACCGTGATTAAGGCCAAGGACAACTAATCGGAGACAACCTATTGCTATTAAGGACTATCAAGGAGATGTGGCAAACTCTATGAATAAATAAGAAGCAGTTATTACAGTGACAGAAGCCCGTGGTATGATTAGAGTGGCTGAGACTATGCTTACCGACCATTATTCACCACAGGTCCTTGCATTCAAAGATCTGTGTACAGACAGGTTCTCCATTACACATAATTTATTCAGAGTTAGCGCTTTACACTGGGCGTTAAAAGGGTAATTAGGGTAAAAATAGCTTCTAAGGGAGTAGTGTAAAGGCCGTGCGCTTGTATCCTGATGAAAATAAGGTGTCTTCGGGTCAGATATGCTATTAGGTCTATCCTAGTGGTGGATCAGTAACACAAAGTAGTACGTCCTCCGGCGGCTTGTACAAGACACACAACATTTGCCTTTATGACCTGAACCTATGCCTGCTATATGAATTAAGGAGGCAGAAAAATTTGCAGTGAACTCTTCAGCAGCTTGTCGCCTCTGTGAAATATGTGTGTCACTTCTGATGCACTTCTATTCTCCACAGTACATGTGTATTGGAATCAAGGGTGTGGAATTTAGTGCTATACTGCATCAGAAAAGCTTCGTTTCTGAAGGATTGCCTGACTATCAAGGAAGGAAGTACAAGTGCTCAGAGTATGAGTAGGAGATATTTGCTACTCAGCCAAACCAGAATTAAGTTTGAACATTTATTTTTACTTCCAACTGGCATTGGAAATGAGGTAATTTGAGTATACCAACAATTCTAGAGAAGTAGCGCGTTAGACCAAAAAAACATAATCCATAGTAACTTGACTAATCGAGAGATCAAGATGTGAAAGACTCAGTTTGAAATTGATAATGAGGCAAGAAAAGAATGCCCACATTGTTTGAGAGGGATATAAGGGCTTGGACAACATCTTTGGAGTTGCAGACAGAGGTACTAGTCCTAACTCTGGACTCAAGAGGGAACTGTAGAGTGTGAACCAACTATTAAAGGATAACACTCATTCCCCCTGTGAGAAAGTCCACTACATGGTATTGAAAAGGAAGCTCAAAACCATTTATCTGACCATGGAAGAGTTAGACAATACGGTAGACTTGATCTTTACCCTAACAAGGTCATGAGGGTTTGCTTGTCTGGTCCACATGTCTCTTGTGTCTTTCAAGGCTTTTTATAGGTGCTGTTGGAGTATGGAGAAGCAGAACTGTTTTTAAGAGCTGCTGTGTCTGCTCCTTGAACCCAAAAGCAGAAATGTTGATTTACAAATTCTTCTATTAACCTTCACCCATCAATAAGCTTCCGCTGCAGGGTGGATGGGTTTTACCTTAGGCAAAAGCTTAAGAGTTTCATCAATCATGTTGTCACAGTAGATCCCCTTCTCCTCCGCATCGAGAGGACTGAGTTGAGATAATTTGGGTAATTGGTGAGGATTCTTTTCAAGGCAGGTCCCATTGGCAGAAGTCTCATGAAAACTCAGGTGGTGGATTGTGTTTTTTGTAACCAACTGTTTTAACTGCGCTGTTGTCAGGACACTCTTGTAAAAGAGATCTCTGATCTCAAAGAGTTTTATTCTGGTTAAACAAAGGTTAAAGAAGAAGGTATTTTATATGCTTTCTGGCCCAGGAGAGTGTAGGGATCCCCAGAGTACACTGGAGAGAATTGGACAGAAGGTTATACAGACAGATGGACAGAGCTAAGAATGTTTTTTATAGCTGACATGATGAACTCCACCGTTAAGACCAACTTTTCATTACAAATACCTGTGTGTTAAAAACTGCCTGTGTTAACGGGCCGTCTGTGTTAATGTAATTCTGAAAAATAAAGAGTCTGATTATGAGGGATCAATTGCAAGAGCTGAGGAGGCCAACCGGCTAAGAAAATCTACTTTCAGAAAAAGCCTCTTCACTGCCTGGCTCTCTTTGGTCCTCCATACTTCTATGAGCATTAAGTGTTTTTTTTCTGCTTTGTTTTTTTTAAATTTGCAGCCAGAATGAGCACAATGGCGCTGGCATCGGTTGCCCGTTCTGTACTCAATATCACAAAAGTCTCTCTCAGCAATATGAAAAGGAAAAAAAAAAAACTAATTTAACTATGCGGCAATTACATCAACACTCTTCACTGTGAGAGTGTAAAGGGGCCACAATCCCACATCCAATAAATAGTTATTTCTGATCTGGTTATGAAAAAAGAGAATAAGCCTGTTTTTCCTCCATTCTCTTCATGACCTGCAGACCCACCAGAACGCTTGTCTGAAATAATGATGACAGTGTATCAAGCGCTAGCTGCTCGCTCCCAGTGACCCCTGTGTTGCAGCTAATCTCATCGGTTTGTACTTAACAACCCGCCACCTTATTAGTTAGTGCACTTGATGCCACGTTACCAAGCACACGCAAAGCAAAAGAAGGCCGAGTCAGAATGTGAAGGATGGATTCAATTATCCAAATAGAAAAGATCTTACACCTGATGTAAAAACCTGTCCATCATGAGGCTTACAAATGCCTGCGATGAGATAATGTATTAATACTGGAAGATGGCCCATCTCACATCTTTCTTTCCCCCTCCCTTCTTCGCTTAATCTTGACACATATAAAGCAACAGGGAGTCTGACAAGTTTGACATATTTCAGTAAAGGCAGGCCTCAAAGTCATGTGATCTGTATGCTGAATTGAGTATGGAGACTTCAAACGTGGTGAAAGTGAAGGGAGGGGGGGAAACAAAACGGGGGAAAAAATTGAACGTTGTGGATTGAGTATATGAGGAGCGCCTAAAAACCGTAGGACTTGCAGTGAATCTGAACAAAATCGGAGAAAAATCGAAAATATCTACAGTAGCTCGCAAAATTATTCATACACATTGAGCTGTCATATTTAGCTAAGTGAAGTAACGCAGGATTTTATTTGGGTTCTATGTGATAGTTTAACAGCAAATGAAGTAAAATGAAGGAAATATACAATTTGTATTGTTTATTTGACATAAATAAAAATGTGAAAGGTGTGTCATTTATTCCCCTCCACCCCCACAAAACCTTTCAGAAACATCTTTTTATTACAATAAAGCAGCAACTTTTGACAATATTATAATCTCTTTTGCATTGTTTAATTTCATTGTTGTCTTATGCATTTTAATTGATTTGGTACAAAGTTATGATGTTTTTTATTTAATTTATTTAATGTAAAGCACTTTATAATGGGCGTAAAAGGCTGTACATCACTATCATGTTACACATGTACAAAGGTCAGTACATTAATACACTTTTAGACAATGACAATCCTTTGAATATTTTTTTTCCTGCTGTAACAGTGTTTTTTGTGTAGCTAATTTTAGCAACGAGGCAGTTCAAAGTGCTTTACATCAAAAATAATCTCAAAAATAGAAAGTCATAAAAACAACATGCAGTCGTCAACTGAGAAACCAGTAACAAGCATTGCATTTTGTTGAGTGCCTTCGTCAAAATCATCGATACACATCAGATGTTTTGGTCAGTGATCCAATAGTTATGGTTCCAAAGCAACTCTAAACATCTAAAACGAGAACCTTCAATAAGGTAAAAGTTGATACTTATTCAAATGCAATGAAATATTTCAGAAATTCAAAATGTGACTGCAACACGCTGGTTTTTTTTTCTTCTTTTTTTTACTCTCATCTGAATTTAAAAGCAGGTTATGGTAAACTGAAGTCTGAGTTTGAGAGATAGAACAAAAGCCTCAAGCTATGCAAGCCTGACAAGGACGCCGACAATAAATTAAGAACGAGAAGCACCTTCACCAAATAAAAACACACATAAAACAGATGTTATGCATGTTGCACGCTAAAGAACTCCTGGTGTTAATACAGATATGTATTAAAGCACAATTATTTGCTGCTTCGTCACGTAAAGTTGTAGCCACAGCTATCATAACACAGACGAGATAGGAGGAGTGCTACTTCTAGTTTCTTCTCGTGACACACCCGTACAATAATAATTCAACAACTATAGATCAATAAGATTGGGTATAAGATGAGACAGGCACCACAGCGTGAGCAGATGACCCAGTTTCAGAAGAAAGACACCCCGCCGGCTTCGGCTAATCAAATTGACGAATAAATGGCGGCTCCAGTTTAGTACAATTATGGATCTTTTTTTTTGATGAAATGTGTTGATAAAATATGCATTTGCACTGAAGACAAACAGCGTCATTACGGTGAGTTATCTTAGCATCCTGTCTTTTCTGCTCTCTTCCTGTTCTCAGGAGCGACACTCAATTACATTTTCAACACACAAAGCGCATAATGGAAACCAATTTAATGCGACGAGTGAAACCAACCCAGTGACCTCTTATTAACATCTTCCTAAGCAGCTTTATGTTGGAAACCCGGTCCCTGAACTTGATGGAGAAACCTGCAGACTGCTGACTGATGTAATTAAACACGGATCCGAGAGAATCCGCAGGGAAAAGTTCTGTGCAATTACCGTCTTCACAGTTAAAGTTCACCGAACATGAACAGTTAAGATTTAAAGAAACTCTAAATACATGAAGCAGCAAACAGTTTGTTTTAAGCAGATTGTTCTCAATAAAAGCTCGTCTCCAGTGTTTCAATTTCCAAGCATGGAGTTCTAAATAAAGAATTACGACTTGGAAAACATGAATCAACAAGATCAACTTGTTGAAAAATGAAAAATATCTCCTGCTTTTGAATTGAATTGAATGTCAAATACATATTAGCTACCAGGCTATGCTCACATCAACACTCTTTGGTCTGGAAGCAGTTGCAAGAAGAACAGAGATGAAATATTTAACCACTCAACATGATTGAGATTAAAAGAGAAAGCCAGAAGAAACAACAGCTGTCTTCAAAAGCTGACTGTATGTTTTATGGAGGCAATTGTTGAATCCCAGGTGCACAAAGGAGCGTTATCACATGTACTTCCTTCAAGACGCTGTTAAAATGTTATAATCGTCGCAGCGCCCAAGAAACTCAAGCATCAGTGACGACATCCAACCCCCAAGACTATCTGTATTGTCGATGTTATTGGTTTTATTTATTTTTTCACTTTTATTGTTATCAAAATGAAAATATTGTGATAAAACATTAAGTCCATATTGCCACTTCCTACTGGCATTTTCTCCATTATTTATAAGCAGTCTGTGTACTCCAAAGCACTTAACACTAAAAACATACAGGATATGGGTTTTTTTTTTTTTGTTAAATTATCCTAATCAGCTGCACATTTCTGTCAATCTCTGTATGCTAATTTTATAACTAGTATTGTTTTATCGTATGTTCTAATTGAATGATATGTTTTTGGTTTTTCATATTTTAATCTAAGTGAGAATCTAATGCGGGACAATAATTTACACTTCTACTCTATTCTATTAGACGGAAAACTATTAAAGCCCTCGGGGAATCTAAAGGTGAAATGCGTTTCATCAGTCAAGCAAAAGCTGCAAGGGTTAAGTTCCCTAGAACTTACCAAGATCCATGCTTTTGGACTTGCGGTTCTTGATGATGTCCAGATGAGCCGGGCTCTCGTACTGCTTGGTGCGCTTCTCTGACATGCTCTGGCGGGCGAAACCCTCCCTCTGGAAGGAGGCATCGGGCTCTGCGTCCGGACTCAGAGAGCTGTGGACCATCGGGATAACAACGGGAAGAAACAGAGAGGCAGATTAAACATGACGTTAACGCAGTTTACTTGATTGCAGGACAAACGTCTTTAAATGTGCATCACGTTTTGGCCTCGCCTGCTATACGGCCGAGGAATAAAACTGACCTATTAATATTTACACAACCACAAACCTCGGCCCAGTCACCATGAGATAATGAACATCGACATTCAATGCTCACACTTGCATATATATGTTTACACACTGTTTCATCTTTCATTTCAATGACTCTTTTTAATGAAGGGCACCTCCACCTCTGCCTACGTTTGGAATAATTAGAAAAGAGGAGGCTATGTGGCACCCCGGTGAGGTGAGAGAGCTCCAGGGTCAGGGCCACTCAATTCCCATCCGCCCCCCTGCCTACCACCACCACCACCCTCTAAACGTGTATGTCTGGAGCGTGACAGAATCCAACCCGCTTCAGAGAACTCCCTTTAAGATCTACAGTATCTCTGTCTGGATCTTAATTAAAAGAAAATCAGAAGGGAGTTAAAAAAAGGAGGTAGTGAGAGGAAGAAATATAATTATGTTGCCATTTACTCAGAGACAAAATAATTGATAACAAATGGTGTTATCACTATCACATGTTTTCGATTCTTTCAGTGATAATATGCAGAACATGTCGGAGGTTTACATACATTCATTCATTCATTCAGTCAATTATGCATGTTCAACTAGTAGGAGACGAGGGGGGCATAATTATTGAGCATACACTTTCAATTATTCTGGAAAAGAAAATTAGGTGTAATGTTTGAATTTCCTGAATGCTTTAAATTGAAAACGGGGTCAAAATTACACATAGTTGCCTACATATACACATAAAACTCCACTGCTGTGGTCACTTTGCAGAAAAACCATACTTATTTTGAAGTGGGCTTTAATTCCAACTGGATATTTTACCACTACTCATTATATGAATATGAAAAGCTTGTTTAAATCTGTTAGTTTCCTGGCACAGGCCAACATTTTCTCCGCAGGGTTGAGTTGAGAGTAATTCTACAGCTTAATGTTAGCCAATTTATGATGTGTTATGTTCTATGTTGTGGGATCATTGTCCTGTTATAGACATCAGCTGTTACCAAGTTTCAACCATCCAACTGCAGTTCGTCTTTAATCCACAGGCTTTGTGAAAAGGAGGCAATGAGCCGATCCATGTGGGAAGTTGCAAAATTTACAAGGTGCCGGTTTTGGGGAAAGGTGTTTCTGTTTCGGTCGGCACCTTCTCCATCTATGCTGATTTTCAACTCGCATAACTGTTTCAGCGTCTTTCGGTTCATAATCAGCTCCAGCCTCAGTGATCCCTGGATTTTTTTTTTTTTTTTACAAAACATCCTCACCAATATCCTTTCATCTGAAGGTGCCAGTTGAAGTCAGATGGTTGGAACTTAGACATAAGTCATAAAACACAGCTGGCGTGCCCAACAGGAAAATGTTGCCAAACATGTCAAAGCTGGTTTTGGAATATAATATATAAGCAGGCTATCATTAGGAGTCTGTAATGTTCCTATTGCCTCAATTCTATGGAGGATAAAGGAACTACTTTTATAAAAACCAAGGGTGTGCCAGAAGAAGATGTGTTTAAATGAACTTTATCAATTTGCCAAGAAAAAATCAGTAAGAATTATGGCGTGGTGGATTGAATTTCTACAGTCCTTCTCTGCCAATCGCTTAATGCATTTTACGTTACAGCTACATTCACCCAATGGCAATTTATGGTTAAGTTGCCTTGCTTAGGGGCATATCAGCACGAGGAATCTGGAATTAAATCTGCAGCTTTCGGACGGTGCGATGACAACTCTTTCCAACCAAGCCACAGTTACAATGGCAACTGTTGTGGCCATGCTCAGGGATAAAAAATTGTTCAGGTTTTTGTCACACATCTGACCAAATATTACTGGTTAAGCATGTACGTATGAGTTTAAACCTGTGTCAATTAGAATAGGACCTTTGATTATTACAACATTGGCTTTGTGGTGTGCATTTCTTCAGACTTCCTATGTGTTCACGTATGGTAAACATAATATCTCATTCTTGTGCTTTCACCGATTTTAAAGATACTCTTCAAACTGTCTTTCCTATCTTTTTTACAGGTGAATGTTTGTTCTTCAAGCCAGGGTGGTCAGGAACAACTCAGCTCTGCTGCTGAAGTGCACAGCGCAGCAGAGACACATGAAGTATAAATAAAGGGCGGTAGAGAGGTTGTTGCGATGCATGAAGCATCAATACCGAAAAGACCCGACAGCATAGACATTTATATTCATCTCCTTGGCAACTACCAGTAGGAGTAACTCCATCACACGTTCTTCAATCCTCTGTCTGAAGACTTGTTCTCCCTTTCCTGGCCTTACAGCTTTCAAGCCCGTGAGCTGCAGAAGGTCACGTCAATCAATAGAAATGAACATTTACTGCATCACTCAAAAAATGCATCATGAAGAAGGGAAAAACATATAAGCTGCAATTTGACTGTGAGTCACGAGGCCAACTGACATGAAAATTAAATGCTACCTATAGTTTGGAAAATGCGGTGAGTCTAAAATGTCTTGTGAAGGTGCAAAATATTAGAAATGTGTTTTTGAAGAAAATCCTCTTAGAGCAGCCTTTGTTCTGAGCTTTTTCCCCTTCAGAGCTGATGGCACTTGTTTGCATTTAAATCATTCTTTTTAAGGATGTCAACCCTATTTAACAAAATACCTGCTTTGTGTGTAACAGAGGGACTGGCATCAACTTGTCACTTCGCCATCGACCATACCTGACAATTCTAACTAAGATCAGACTGCCGCGCAGGGCCAACTCCAGATGACACAGGAAGAGAGTGAGGCGGAGCGGGGAGAGGGGAATGACAGCACAGATGTATTATTCATTTATTCATCATCTTTCGCTTTTTTCTCCTGTCATCATTCCGGGGGCTCACAAAATCAGCTTGCCCTCTATTTTCCTACTTCCACAAATGTCATTTGTCAGAGCATGACTGAGACAGCGCCGGCTAGAAAGTGGCACATTTTCACCCGGCATTTAGAATGAATTCACTCTTACTCCTGTTGTTTCACCGGAACAATCGAACACGTGCAAAAGACGAGGACAAAGTAAGAGGCCCGCAGACGCACTGCTGCTCAGTTATAGAGACTTGATGAATGTGTGACCATTTGGGGGAATAATTATGCAGACAAATGGTCAGCATCCAGCGTGTCTGGGTGAAACTGGTGAGAAATATGTGGGCAGTAGGAGTGAAGTTCAGCGAGAGAGCTCTGCAGTGGTGTCAATTCGCTTAGTGGGGAATCAAATTTAAGCTGGCAACTGTTTTAGTGCCGCTTTTGATTGAATATGAAACACACAGAGGAATGACTAAATGCACAGCGTGAGAGCCTTCAACAACCTGATGAGAAAAAAGGAAATTGTATTATCAGAACCACCAGCTGTCTCGGCTCCCACTGATTGTTTTCGGCATAGTGGTGCCAATTCCGCTAAACAGCTTTGATCAGAAGATGCATAAATCTTTCGGGGGTGGGAGGTATTATGCAAAAATTGACTTTTTTTGAGCTTGATGTCTTAATGATCTCTTTCCCTCATCAAACACATACCTGGAGTGTTGCTTCCACTTTTTCATGCGTGTTTCAGGAATCCTTGAATCTCCCCTGGCAACCATTCAGAAGTGACTAAACGACTGTTCATACAATACATCACCAATTTACCCAAAGCTCCACCTCGGAGCTTCGGTCCAAAGTTCCACCAGACTAGAGGCAGCAACAATTAGCAAACACCTGGTAGAACTCATCACGCGAACTACGCCCCCAAGAATGGTTGGAAACAGCATCACTGGAGAACCACTGTGAGAGAGCCAGCTGAAGAGGGCGTGTCCAAAGAGACAGGAGGTTCTTAAAGAGACAGAGGTAAATTTCATGTTGCCAGATACGGGTATGATACAAAGTCAAATTTCTTTCAACATGTTTTGGATCTGCACAGCTTTTTTATTTATAACAACTGAAGGCAGCATGGTTACTTGGTTGTACTATAAAATGGCATTATGTGACTGGAAAATACATAATATCCCTTTTAAAATAGTAAATTGTAAAAGTAATATTTTCTACATACTGTAAGCAAAGCCCTTGACTCCAACACATTTAACATTCTACTTGGTTTATTTTTAGAACAAACATGTCACTGACCCTTAAGCAGCCAAACATTTGCAGATGCAGCAGAGTAATTAACTGCAGACTACATATTTCCCTGTAGAGGTGGCTTCTTGTAAATAGATTAAATACTTAAGGAGACTTGGAATATGTTTGCCACAACCCTGAAACATGCTTCCTATTATACCCTTAGAAAAAAAAACAAAAAACAAAATCTGTTGGAAAGAAAACCCAAAAGAACAGGACCTTGACCATATAGCTAATTCTCACGAGTTAGATAATTTAGTTACCGATTTGGATGGTTGGTCCCCCACATGCCTCTAGCCCATTTTTAATAGGCTGCCAAAGCTAGAGAGATCATACATTTTCCCAATTTCTCCTTCCATAAGCAGATTTTAAAAGCATTTTTTTGCCAATACTGAGCAGATGGTTTCCTCTCCATTTAAAGTTCACCCATCATCTAAAATTAACCAGAGCCGAGTATTGCTCACAGGCAAAACCACAACTTCCACTTGCATTTTGCATTAGCGTTCCCATCTCTGCCTTCCTCGCAGGAAATGAAAATGTGTCAAACTGCACAGTGGCCTTGTCGCAAAGTGGCGCTTGCTAAAAGCTCTCTGCGCTGACAATCACCTTACAGTGAGTTTACCTATAATTAGCTTATGCGCAAAATACGAACTTGATTAAAAATATATACATGCATAGAACACCCATCTTATTGTGAATAAAAGGTAAAAGTCCTGGAAAATATTTACATGCGTCAAAACCAGGATAGGAGAGAAACCAGAGAAATGTTCCCCAGAGGTTTGAGTGCTCTGATTCAGCTGACTGG